CCCATTTCACAGCTGAAGTCTTTTTGTCAGTCAACAGTAGATCCAGAGATTTAAGCAATGAGGTCCAGAGAGCCAAATCAGCTTCTCCAACATTTGAAACTGATCACCTGACCTCATGTGTCAGGGGCCAAGCAAATTATTTATAAAAGGTACTGAACTAAAAAAAAAAGATCTTTTTCCTTCTAGCAATGAAAATCTTCAAGGTCCGAGTGTGACCCAACCATAGAGAAACAGCCTGTTTTATCACACAGCTACAATTAGCAGTCACTTCTTGTTGAAACCATTCCAGACAAGTTGAATATGACAAGATGTGGTAAAAAATATTTAGGTATGGAGAAGGGAAAACAGGACACAAACTTATCTTAGCTGAAGACAGCTTTAAAATTAAAAGGGGTAAAGTGTGAGAGAAGAGGCACCACTCTTGTATAAACTATAAAAGCTGAATTTTAAAACAAATTTTGATCAAGCGTTGTGAATCTTCTCTTAAAAAAGATGGAAAGGAAAATGGGGTAGGGTCCACGCAACAGATGGGTGAATGTCTACAAAGTAGGCGGCACCTCTCACCAGTCTCGAGCTGATTGGCTGAGAAGGCAGAGGGGCCGCCACCAATAGAAGTGACGCTGAGGAGGAGGAAGAGCAGGAAGGAAGAGGAGGAGGAGGGAAGAAACCACAGCGGACAACCTCCCCATCCTGCTGGGAGCCCATAGGACCCCCTACAATAGCAGAGGGCCCGGGACCCAGCCTGAGGACCAGGGGGCCGTGGGGACGGATGTGCTGTTGGTGGCCAGCAGCCAACGATTCATCACTTCCTGATGACTGACGAAGTTAAATTGAATAAAAAGAAAATAAAAAAAATAAAGCAACCCAAAAAAAAAAGAAAACAAAAAAAGAAAAAATTAAGTAGGTCATGAAAAACAAACAGGAGACGCACAATACCCATTAACTTTGACACGCTGCAGCCAAGTGTGCATGAACGCTGGATTAAAAGATTGCTAATGATTGTTGGTAAGACGTTGTGTACCTCTGGATCAGTGATCCCCTGGACACATTTCGGGCACTCCCAACAGCTGGGCAGATCTTTATTCACCACTCCTTCACCCCGAACCTACAGAGACAGAGGCAGACAATTATTATGATTATT